AATTGTTCTCCAGCTGCAGGATCAGACACTGCCGGAATTTCTTATCCTGCAGCATGAGAACAGACTTGGGATCATACTTTAAATTTTGAGCATGGTGCCCTGTCACCCCAGCAGCCAGGTCTCCTGCATCTCAGTCCTTCACACTCTCCCAACTTCTCAAGCCCTGCCTTCCCTCAATCACCAGTTTTTCCACTTCCTTAACCTTTCTCAACCCATCCGTAGCCTGGGGGAAACCTGGAGGATCTGGTGGGCTGCCCGTGGCTGTTCACGTTGGATTGCAGGAGGGAAAGGTCGCCTCTTTATGCCAAGGTGTCTGGGGCTTGGGACGTGCACTGAGCTGCAAACAGGACTCAGCTGGGAAGCTATAATGCTCCTGCAGCCCCTTGGAAGGGGGGCCCTGGGCAAGGAAGGATTTTTGGGGCAACGTCATCTAATATGTGGATCAGGCACTGGGGCGGCATGAACTCGGATCTTTTGCTTTGCTGCAGGCCCAACGGCGGGTGTGTGAGATGCTGCCAGGTGCTGGTGTCTATTACTTCCCATGGGAGATCAACAGCTCAGTCCCAGACGGGGAGGCGCTGAGGACGTTTGGCAGGTGAGATGGGTTCCCCCCGGTCTCCTTGCAGGCCAGCCCTTTCCTTCACTGGCTGACCCCCCTCCCTTTGTAATTGTTGTATCTCTGTACCACTTCGCTTCCCAAATCGATCGTTCCCAGGTTATGCTGCTATGACTTGGTCCGGTCCGAAGCCATTCTCACCACTCAGCACAGCTCAGCTCAGTACCGGGTCTGTGTCGACACCACGTTTGTGGAGCCATTCCAAGCCCAGCTGGGATCTCGCTACATGGTCCTGGGAGAGGCTGAACACAGGGAAGGTAAATGTTCCAGGAGCCCCTGCCCTTTGCTGCTGCTCATGGTCCATCAGCTCCTCATGGTCCATCAGCTCCTCTGTGGCTCCCTGGGTACTCAGTGAGACACACTGTCACTGGGGTTAGTGTTACACACTGTCACTGAGGAAAGGCTTGGCCAAGGCAGGCTCATCTTGTGTGATTCAGGGCAGGAACAGCCTGTCTCTCCCTGTTGATCATGCGAAGAGCCACCTTTATCTTGGTGAAAATCTGGTGCACAGATTTCATTAGAATCAAGAAGCGCCTCAGCAGCATCGCTGAGCTTGTGAAACCTGCGCTAAAGTGGCATCATTGCCAGACCCCACATCGTCTTTGCTCCAAACGTGACCAATTGCAGCAATACCTCATTGCGAGCTGGCTGGGTTGGTCTTTGCCATCCTTGAAAGGCTCTAATTATATCCCTGCCCTCAGACATGGGGCGTGAGGAATGCAGGCAGGCTCTGTCACGCAGGGCACCCTGTTGTCCTTTCCTGGGGTGCCCTGAGTGTTACTCCGGCTGCACGGTGCTTTGCGTGGGGACTTGATCTGGGCTGGGCCGTGGGGTTGTGAAGCAAATCCCAAGTGTTGTCTTGGCCACACCTGATAACAACCATTCTCATTCATGCCATCAAAATCCTCGGTGGCATGTGGAAAGTCACACTGCATGTGGCACGTGGTGAGTAACCTGCTGAGCCACTGCTGCAGAATTCCTTTAGAAAGACATGCTGTTTTGGTCATCACAGCTTAGGGGTGAGTTGGCCCTGTTTTGCAGGTGTGGAAGGGGAGCAGGCTGAGATGGTGGCTGTGTCACCAAGGTTTGACCCCTTTTGTTTAGCTCCATGTTAATGTTTGAATGCCAGCGATGAACTCTTGGGTATAGTCAGCACTGAGCCTCTTCTAAGCCCAGCTTTGTTCTGTCCTCATCTGCACAGAGCCATTCAGAAATGAGCTTGGACCCATCCCGGATGCTTTTTAGACAGAGAAAACCAAACTTCATCCAGCCATGAAGTAGACAGATGCTGCATGGCTGGCACTGGCACCGACATGTCCTGGGCTCAGTGTTCCCCAGTGCAAGGAGAGCGCAGTGTCAGTCACCAGTATGTTGTAGCCAACAGGGCAGAGGGAAGGTGTGTCACTGAATTAACCTGCTCCTGGGCTTGCTGCTCATGTCAGTGGAGGCACAGCCGGTCCAGGCTCCTGCAGGGTCTCAGGCTATGGTTATTTGGCCAACTGGAGCCATATGCTGCCTGAGGGAACCTTGCTGTTTGCCTCCAAGCTGCTCCGTCTGTTTTTCTTTCTACAGAAACTTCCTGTTTATATTCCCAGGTGAGGGTCCAGTGGTAAAGGCACGAATATTGACCTGCGTGGAAGGGATGAATGTGTCCTTGCTGGAACAAGCCATACAGGAGCAGAGGAAATACTTCAACGAGAGGCAGGAGCAGATGGGAAACAGCACATGCTGACAGCAGCTCTGAGACCAGCCATACGCTGGTCCTTGCACTGCTCTTTCCAACAAACACGTTAGAAGTAAATTTAACGGGTGGTTTTGCAATATACTGGTTTTTGCCATGGCAAATAACAAAGTCAAGTCACTAAGCAGCGAAATCCTTGAAGACTGTGAGTCAGTATGTGTCTGCGGGTTGTCCGTTCATGCAAGGTGTTATCACTGAAAATGGCTCTGGGAAGCAGGTTGGTTGATTGTGTAAAAAGGTGGTTAAGGAAAGGAAGCGCTTGAGTTACACTGGTCCTTTTGTAATGCAAGGCTTGGAGATGTCACAAAGAGAAGTCATCTCCAAATCTCAAGGTAAGCAGCTGACACCCACACGCACTGCCAGAGCCCAGCGAGTCACCAGGCTGGTGGCAGATCGGAGGTAGAGGGCATTAATGCAAAGTTTGTTAGTCCTGCGTGGCTGCGGGTCCGTGACTGCCTGCATTTGGTTACTGTGACTCAGCTGCCACACAGGAGTGTTGCTGGCAAGACACTCACATACCTGGACTGACCAACAAAGAAACAGGGAGAACAGAGAGTCACTATTTTCAGTAGCATCTGCCTCTTTGGGTTTTCAGGAGCTGATGTTCAGGAGAGGATTGGCTTTAGCTCTAAAATAAATATTTGCGGTGCCCTGAGAACCACCACTTTCTTCCTTGACACAACTAAGTTTAGGAGACCTTAAATCATTATTTTTTTGAAGCATCTAAAGGTTTTGATTGATATTTTCCTACATAAATATGAAAATAGAAGGCAGCCTGTCTTTTATTGATTAAAAACCTCTTTCTTGCTAGGGCAAATGCATTAGGCCCTGCGGAAACCCCATAGATGATGTAAGAAAATTTAACAAAATGCAATTTTCCTCCTTCTCCTAAGTACTGGGTGTGTAAGGAAGTGTTTGGCTTTGAAAAAGTTGCAAGAAGAGGAGACGAAGTTACATCAGAGCCACTCTTGTTTAAGAACATGGTGCCAGACCCACCCAGCAGCATTAAATCATCAAGAAAAAGACAGAAAATCACTAATGTGAGATGAGAATCCAATGTTAGTGCAAGAGAGAGAAGACTCTTCTGTGCTATAGCAATCCCTGGACCCGGAGTGAGCTGGGACTGTGGTTTGCAGGGGAATTCAGTCACCTGCAGCTTTTTCTGCTTTTTGCTCAGATTCTCTGGTGAAACGTTCAGAAAATAAGGACTGAAGCCGTACAATGCACAGCAACAGATCAAAATGCAACAGGTACTGGCAACATCCATGTTTACCAGCAGGCTTGATTCAAAATCCTGAGATGGTTCGGTAATTACAGTGCTTGCTATAATCTTTAATCACAGTTTAGCCTTATGTTTTTTCTTCATGCAGTTTTGATCCAAAAGCCCTGCTTCAACACACTCTGTTCAGCCCAAGTCCAAAAACATGATCTCAGGAGACGAGATTTTAACCTGGTTTTGTAAGAAGTGATTATTAGTCTGTCATAATGTGTTTATATTTACACCTTGTCTCCTGTCTGTTGTCCTGCCTTCTTCCCTGTCCTTAAATTTTATCCAAATGGCCAGGTTTGCCAGAGAATTGGGAATATCCAAGATGCCAGGACTGGGAATTTCCAAAATACCAGGTTCCTACAACTGCTATGAAAAAATCACCACAAACCCAACCAGCCAGGAAGAGGAGAGCAAATTTGGCAGTGACTCCGGGCAGAGACACAGGCACAAACTGAACCTTCACAAGCCACCGGAGAACCCACACAGGAGTTTGCCGTGGCCATGTGAATCCCTCTTCAGCCGCAGAGCAACCACGCTTTGGTTCTTTCACATTGGCAAAATCAGGATCAATTTTAAAAAGATTTTGAGCTGGTGGCTCAGCGATGGGCTAAATCCTTTTTTAGGTCACCTAAAAGTTGGGGTCTGCACTGTGGGCCCACAAGCCCTCCAGGAATCAGTCCCTGTGGCTCTTACCTTTCCTGGTACCATGATGCATAACATTTTTTTAATCGTGTCCTGTCAGCTGTCAAGTCAATAATTAATCCCCCACCAAGGACTTCTTCCAAAAGGCTGACCAAGCAGCACAGCCCACAGTGGGGAAGTTCAAGGGACAATTGCGCAAGATAAAAAAAAAAAAAAGTTTCTGCTGTGTTTGACCTCAGCGTGTCCCAGGGAACCCTGGTGACACACCACATCCCCCGATGCCAGGCGCAGTGCAAATGGAGCTGCAGAGCTTCTCTTGGCCCTGTGAAGTCCCTGCTGCCTTTCCTGCAGGCCCAAAGCGGCTCTTCACATGCATTTTGCTCAATTTTTGCTTTAGCTAACACACCCCACAACCTCGGTCACAAGTAACCGGTCCCAGGCAGTTGCTGCACAGTGTGTCTGGCTCTTTGGGTCTCCCGAAGCCCCCCAGACAGACACCCACCCACCAGCGTGCCCAGGCAGCCCTGTCTGCCTGCGGCTGCCCCAGTTCCAGGCAGGTCCCTGTGCTGCAGCAAGGGGGAAACCAGACCCCAGAGAGCAGCTCAGGGAACACGTGGGGAGAGCAAACACCTGCACATTTGGGGAGTTTGGGTTTTTTTTTTTCTTTTTCTTCCCCCCTCAGAAAGCAGTGCTAGCTGCCCCCACTGCCATCACAAGGCTGAGGTAGCGCCATGGATGCCTTCCAGGAGGTGTTTCAGAAGGTGGAGAAGATCGGGGAGGGCACCTACGGCGTGGTGTACAAGGCTCGCAACAAGCGCACGGGGCAGCTGGTGGCCCTCAAGAAGATCCGCTTGGACTCGTGAGTGGGACAAAGCCCCGGTCCTGGGGGCTGCCATGGCCTAGCCCAGCCCAGAGCCCACACGGCCTGCCAGGATGCTGGGCCGACCACTGCCTCAGTGCGGTGGCAACAGGGTGCTGAGGCGAGAGGGGGCTGAGGAAGAAGAATGGCTCCTCTGGGGCCAGTGGCGCTGCCCACAGGGAGATCGCCACCAGCTGAGCCCAGCAGCGCCCCAGACCTGCCATGGGAGTGAGCAAGCCCAGCGTCCAAAATGGTGCAAGAGGCTCAAAGAAGCCTGATGTGAGGGATAACACCGTCTCTAATGGCTCATGCCAGCAGCTAGGGCCTGACCCGGTACTACCTGGCCCTGGTGCCGTGGCCCAGGGCAGGGGGAAGTAGCCGCCATTTTGGGACGTTGCCTCTCCTCTCCCTCAGGGGTGTAGTGCCAAGGCTGGTGAGGCTCAGGCTCCCACAAAGCCGACTTTCACCTCTCCAGGGTGGGGACTGAGCAGCTTATTGCTGTTCCCCTGGGTCAGCCCTGGGCTGTCTCCATGATGAGGGGTGTCACTGTGGACCAGGGGCCATGGTGGGACTGCACCCCATGGCAGCCCTTCAGGATAGTGGAGGCAGCTGCCTGAGGGGCAGAGATCTTTCATCTCCCCTGATCTCTGAAAAGCAAGGCTTGAGCATTTAAACTGTTGCTTCTCCAAATGTGTCCCAAGGTGCTTCCAAAAAAGCTCTACTCCAGAGCTTGCACTGCCTAGGTCACCCCCTCCCTCTCCTTCCCCATGCTTCATTTCCCCCTGCCCGCTCCACGCACGACTCCATCCCAAATGTGGGACGCCCAGTGTGAGAGACCCTCCCCTGGGCAGGCGATGGGGTACGATGGAAGGGCAAAGGGACACAGGACCCCGATGGGTTGTGGGATCCCAGTGGAGGACAGGGTGCTGTAAAGCCCATCTCTGCTGCAGGGAGACAGAGGGCGTCCCCAGCACTGCGATCCGAGAAATCTCACTGCTGAAAGAGCTGAAGCACCCCAACATAGTCAGGTAAGACCTGGATGAACCCTCCCCACCAGCACATTGACACGCTTCTGCTCATCCTCACGGGGAGCTCTGGGTACAGGCAGCAAGAGGGACCTCCAGCTCCTTCCCTGACTGCACAGAAAGAAGCAAAATAAACAGGAAAATGCAAGAATCGTTTGTATTTCCCTGGTTTGCAGCAATAGCCCACAGCACAGCCATTTTACTCCAGCAACACAGGCTGGTCCAAGCTGCTGCCGCCCCATACTAGATGGTGCTTTTATATCTGCCTCTCTGTGCTCCAAAGGACTCGGAGAGCAGAGGCATCTGTGAGAGGAGGGATGTTTGGGTATTTGCAAAGGTCTGGAGAAGGTGCTGAAAGGTACTGAAAGGAGCACTTGCACTTCTTTTGCAGGCTCCTGGATGTCATACACAGCCAGAAGAAGCTGTATCTGGTGTTTGAGTATCTGAATCAGGACCTGAAGAAATACATGGACTCATCCCGAACCAGAGAGCTTCCTTTAAGCTTGGTCAAGGTACAGTGGGGAAGGAGTGCTAACAGGCAGGGCAGAGAGCATGTGCTGCCTTCTGCTGGGCAGAGCCAGCACTGAGCTGCTCTTACCTAGACTGCATCTGAAAGAGATTCATCCTTGGCTGGAGGCATTCAGCCTCTCAGATCTCAAACATTTTAGCTGGGAAAAAAACCTCATAGCACTATTGCTCAGCACATTTATTTCCCAGCTGTTTCCAGCCCATCTTGCTGCAGAACAAACTGCTGATAAGAGGACAATTGAAGGATCCATTACTAATTGTCTTTGTACAGAGTAATAGATAGGTAGAAGGGACTGCCACAGCTTGGATTAGAGTGTCTCTGACCCATGTAGGGTGGGAGCAGTTTGCGTGCATCTCTGAGCAGTGGTCCGCAAGCCTGGTGTTACATTATACTAAGGTCTTTTTTTCCCATTCAGGTCTATAAATGATCAAAAGTGTGTTGGTTCAAAAGTGGTTTCATCGTGGCCTTGTCTGAAATGTCTTCTCTCCTTAGAGCTACCTTTTCCAGCTGCTGCAGGGTGTGAGCTTCTGCCACTCACACAGAGTCATCCACAGGGACTTGAAGCCACAAAACTTGCTCATTAATGAAGCAGGAGCAATCAAGCTGGCTGATTTTGGATTGGCAAGAGCTTTTGGAGTCCCCCTGCGCACGTACACTCATGAGGTATTGTTGAGGCTCCCTGCCACCTCAGAGTGGGGTACACAATCCATAGTGGGTGAACAACAGCAGCATCGCAAGTCGCTCATCCATAGCTGAGGCACAGCTGTATTAGGTGCTCTTAACCTAACCTTCAGTAAAGGATTACCTCGTGTCCCCACAAAGTGTGCTGACTGTTTCTACCCTAGCCTGTCTGCAAGCTAGGTTCCCACCTCCTCTGCGTAGGGTATATTTATTTGTTCCAGTGTGTCCTGTTGAAGAATAATTTTCTAATCCCAATCTTGCTGTCACTAAAATGTCTGTTAATTGAGCACGGCCTTGGCACACTCTGATTTGTACAGTCATTGCATTACAGCTGAGATGAGAGGAGTCCATGCCTCTGGTTTCACCCAGAGAAACTAGACAAAACTTGTTTGTTTGTTCCTACCAGGTGGTGACTCTGTGGTACCGAGCCCCTGAAATACTACTGGGATGCAAATACTACTCAACTGCTGTGGATATCTGGAGCATCGGCTGCATCTTTGCAGAAATGGTAGAAAGGGTTTAAATAATCTCTTTAATGAGCAGAAGGGGTGCAGCTGCAATGGGAAGTGGGGAAGGAGGGACAGGACACAGAACATCTGTGATACCGTGGTCCCACTGGGGTGTGTATTATGGAAAGTCCACCCTGAAGGTTAGCTGATCCTTAGCTGCGGGCTCAGAAGGAAACCTGCCACGCTTAGGGCCTGGCAGAAAGCAAAGAAACCTCAGTAGTCCAGCTGCAGTTCCACATCTGTGGGAATGCGATGCCTCTCCTTGCAGAAGGGGTAACTTCAGTCTTGTTGCTGCAGGACTTTGATCCTGGGAGGAGATGACTGTCTTGCAGATGTCCCCACGGTGGGCTGCAGAGAACTAGCACTCTCATTGCATGGCAGAGCGGATCTCCTAGGGGTCCACACTTCACTTTGAAGAGTTCTTGTTATCCCTGCAGTGTAACAGCACTATCCCTAGCTCCCAAAGCCCCTGAGCTGCAGGTCAGCAGAGCCTGGCCAAGTAGGTGGGGAGGGAGTTAGCCTGCAAGAGCAGGTGTTAGGAAACTGGAGACAAAGAGGATAAGGGACTGGCTGAAAGAGGACAGCTTCAAGGGAGCACGGATCCATGGAGAGGAGCTGGAGACAAGCAGACAGGCACCCGTGACTTTCCCAACCACTGCCTGACAGAATTGCTGCTTTGTAACTGCCCTCGTCTGCGCAGTTGTTTGTATCTGCTGGGACAAAGGGTTGCTTGTAGTAGGAAATAGGGCACACAGCTGATGGAAAGGTGGGAACTCTTTTTTTTTTTTTCTCCCCAGGTGACCAGGAAGGCCCTGTTTCCAGGGGACTCTGAGATCGATCAGCTCTTCCGGATCTTTCGCACCCTGGGCACTCCCACTGAGGTGACCTGGCCTGGGGTGACCCAGCTGCCTGACTACAAGGGGAACTTTCCCCAGTGGGCACGGAAGGAGATGAAGGATATTGTTCCCAACTTAGATCGAGATGGTAGAGACTTACTGGTGGTGAGTGAGGGCTCAGAACAAGACCTGGAGACAGACAGGATGTTTTCAAACTGGCAAAGAATAGGGACATTTGGGACTGATCTACCTGGCAGTGCATTAGCTGATCTATGTCTAATGCTCATCTCTGCCATTGCAGAAACTCTGAATCATCGAATCGGACTCAGTCCTGGCTCTGAAGCAGGGCTGTCAGTGCAGGTTCCCCTAGGAAACCACTGCAGTGAGGGTCAAGAAACCTTTCTAGAATAATCCCCACAGTAATTCCAGCTGTGGGTTACTCCCAAAGCCCAAAGAGGGGAAAAGACATGACCAACATCTGGATCTAGGCCCAGCCATGCGCAATCAATCATTTGGTTTTTAAAATCCTAAAGCTGCTGGGTTTTTCTCTTGGCAGCAATTGCTCCTGTATGATCCCAGCAGGCGCATCTCAGCCAAGGCAGCCCTCAATCACCAGTACTTCTGGAGAAGCCCTCGGAGCCCTGAAGAGCGACGTGCGCTGCAGAGACAGCACAGATGAGAAGACACAGCTCTCCTCCTGCGCTTGCACCTCCAGGTAGCAGTGCAGGTCTGATTTTGGGCACTTAGCAGGGTGCTGGCTGGGACTCAGGGTCTCACGTCTCCCGAGGAGCCTGGAGAGGGACATTCTTGCATTTAGAGCCTCAGCCTGTTGCTGGGGGAAAGTTTGGGTTACAGCCAGCAGAGCTGTTATGAAGAGGTCATGTGCAAAAGGGTGGGGGGTATTTATCAGCATAAACCACTGAAATGTGGAGAGATCGTATCATTCAGAAGGTTGTCCTCACATTAGTCAGTGAGCTAAGGTGGCACACAGTGATTTCTGTCTCCAGCACTGGAGCATCCCCAGTCATCGGTGGCAGTCCCTGACACCAGGGTGTGCTGGAGCTCCACTTTGGGTAGGGGAGCACTTCTCTGCTCAGCCCTTTGCTGCTGTTACCAAAGACTGGGCTTGTCAGCACTAGACAAGTTGTTTAACCTGAGCTGTTTAACAGAGTTGACATTCTGCTCTTCCACACGCTGAAGAGCACTATCCGGTAGCTTAATTTGTGCCTTAGCTGGGATCAAGAAGCCAAAAGATCCGGTTAGTGTAAAGCACTTGTTGCATATGGCTGGAAACAGTAACAGCTAAAACACTGGCTTTCCATCATCGGTCCAGATGTACTGCTGCTTCCTTCACTTTGTTGTCTGGAAATGTTTTTGCTATTCGAATGTTTGGAGAATTGTCACTAACTTCTGGTATGGTTTTGACATCTTCATTTTTTTTTCTTTCAGTACATTAAAAAATAAAGGCTTGTCCTTTGTTCAGAAACCTCGGTGTTTATTTTTTGGCGCAGCCCATCAGGCTAGTGACGCAGGACAATCTGGCCTGTCTTTTTTTCCACAGAGGTCTTCTCCCTTCCTCTTCTCCTGCACTCTTTCTTTTATCCTTTCCAGCCCAAATCCTTGGCAGGTGCAGAGAAGTACTCTCAGTTCTGTTGTGGAATAAGGGGCTGATGGTTCTGCAGCCCAGTGCTGTCTTGGTATCGTAAGGTGGGCTTGCTTTCCATCAGAGTTGCCACAAACCAGTTCAGACTTATGTTCTACTTATTTAAATACTCAAAGGACAGATTTTTAACTTAGGAAAACCAAACTTCTGCAGTCCTGTTTTTCATGCACATGCATGCACGTGCTCTCCTAATAACCATGATCCTAAGAACTGATCTCAGCACAACCTGACAGCTCTGACAAGTTGTCACATTGCTAGAGTTTCACGACATAACAACACAGTAAAGGAGAGAGGCGGCTGCACACACAGCTGTAGCACAAACCTCCCTCCCCACCTACTAGATAACAGAGAATTTGCACAGGGGAGAGAAACCTTTAGAGTCCCTCCTGAAAAAGCCCCTCTCAATCCAAGGCCTGCCTGTCTAAAGCCAAGCTTGTTGTCCTTTGGTTCCCTCCATCATTCCTTCCTTCTCCCACTCAACAAAAGGCAGCAGGTGACTCTGCTTAATTGCCGACATCAAAGAGACTTTTGTCATCCCTACTGCAGCACCTGCACCTCCCAAGAGATCCCTGACAGTCAAACCCTGGGACCTGTTGCTCACCTCCCTCCATGCCCTGCAGGTTTAGGAGCTACCAGACCCTGGGGGGGGCTCCCTCACTTCTGCAATTTGCACAAATTAGGGTGGTTTTTTTTTTTTGGGGGGGGGGGGGGGGGCTTTCTTTTTTTTTTTGGGGGGGGGGGGGTGTGCTTTGCTTTTGAAGCTGTTGTTAGGAGTCATGCTGGACTGGCTGTCTGGAAAAAGCTGACCTGCCCATGTTCCAGAGGGCTGGTTTTCTGATTGAGCAGGGGAGAGCAAGCAGCTTCAAAAGCAGTGTGGCAGGAAAATGGAAGCCGTGCTGTGCTCTGCAACATCTCACGTCCTCTGTATGATAACACCCAGCTTGCAGGGGCATGTTTGTGAGACGTGGATGAATTCTGATATGAGAATCATTTCCCTGCCTTTGCATACATGTTTTAAAGTCAATTCATTTTGCACAGATAACGCTCCGTTGTTTGCTCTCTGCAAACAAATGCTCGTGTTGTACCTGACAAGCTGTTTGCAGAAGAGTTTGTTGTTTTTGTTTAAAAAGACCTGCGTTAAGAAATAAACACCAAGGACATTCAATCCAGTCCAGAATGAAACAACAGGCTGAATTTCAAACATTTATGACCCGACCCCACTGCCAGCAAAGGGAACCAACAACAGCCATGTCGAAATAACCGTTCAGGGAAAGCCACGATGCAGCCCCGTCACCCTGTACCCGAGAAGGGAGGAAAAACACTACCTGGCTCCTCACAACCCTGCCAGACAGCTGGGCTCTGGGAAAGCCCCACGGCTTCAGGGTACTTCCTATGGACACATCGGGAGGACACGATTCAAGCTGCTTTCTGCAGATGAGGACCACTTGGTAGCAAAGAAAAGGATTTTTTTAGTGGAGTTTCTTCAGAAACAAAAGGCAGACCAGCCTTCAAAAGAGTCTGCTCAGCCAGCCAGACTGCTCAGCTGCCTAATTGTCTCTTAACGCCTTCATCCAGCCCTAGGTAAATACCTCCCACCATGCAGTTAGGGAGCACTTTATCCAAAATGATTAACTGACTGCCTAATTACCAGCACTCCAAGTCCTTTAGTTGCAGAGCATTCCTCAAAACTATTTAATCAGCACTTCAGGAAAGAGTCACCACGTGAACATCATACTGTTTTAAAAACAAGCATGGTTTTAGCTCATCAGCCCTGGAGCCCAGCACCCTGCCCCATGGAGCCAGGCAAGGGGAAGGCTGATGGCAAACTCACCTGTTGGGCAGAGCCAAGCTGCAGGAAAGGTAAAAACCCTTTTGCTGATGGACCCTCCCTGCTTTCAGCCAGCCGAGGGGAGCAGAGCCAAAGCACAGCAAGGCTGCTCCCAGCAGCTTTGGAGAGCTGGCACCCAAGGACTGCTGGGAACCACGCTGGTCCAGGGCTCCGCGGTTGCAGTGGGACGTGATTCTCACCTGGCTGTGCTCTGAGGACTTTTGGGCCCAGGTCAGGGTTTCTCTCCTGATATGTCTCCTGGTCCATCACAGTCCAGCTCCAGCCCTTGCTGCTGGTCCAGACCAGCCAGGAGGGCGATGCGGAGTTCCCCATGTGCCAGCAGTGCTCTACCAAGAGGAAACAGGCTGGGAACGGATGTTCTGGGGTGTGTGGAACAGTTTTCCCCATTGTAAACCAACAAATTGCCCCGTATTGATCACGGCTGCTGAGATGGCCATGGGCACCAGTCGTAGGCCTGACAATAAACACAGACACTGCAGAGCATGAGACAGAGCCTGGGCAGATCTTGGACTGGAACCTTGCTGTTTCCGTAGCTGGACTCAGACTGTTAATGCTGAGCACTACCTACCAGCAGGAAGGTAATGGGACCTGTGATTGTGCTCAGCTTGCCAGCACAGGAAGAATTTCTTCTTGGAGCCCAGACTTCAACTGCCAGCTAGGCATATGGAAATAGAGGCTACGCTGCTTTTCTGATGGGGGAGAAAACCTCTACCCTTATGGATTATTTTGGGGGTGTTGGATTTCTCAAGCAGCAGCAGCTAAAAGAACCCATGAAGGCGGGGGGAAGAGCAGCTCATGTCAATAGAAAAGCATTTTTGTCATCCCACAAAGCCAGGGGACTCTCCAGAATAGGGTAGAGACTACAGAGGAACATTTCATCTCTCATCTCAACAGGGACACATGGGAGTTTGGACTTGCTCATTTCAGCAAGGGCTGAGCACTGGAAGTGACACAGAGGAGTGAAAGCTTGCATGAAGAAACAGCAAGTGCAGATTTTCAGGTGCTGCTGTGTGGATCCTGCAGCCAAGGGCTGTAGAAAGTAGTTGCACATCACCATTGACTGCAAGCATCATCAATCTGCTACTGAAGGCCATCCCTTCCCTTGCAACACATCTGCCTCTGTACAGGTACAGGACAAGCCCCCAAGATCATCTGCTTCAACAGGGTTTGGTTTGGTTTTGCTTGGGGCTTGGCTTCCTCTGCCAACAGCTCAGTGAAGTGACCCAAGTCATTGTAGCACCAACACCATCACTGGTCTGCAGCCAGAGAGGCACCAGGGACAGGCAGCTGGAAAGGGCAGGGGGGGCTGCTCCATTCGGTATCTGCCTGCACTTAGACTGGATCAAACACGACATGTAACTGCATCTTTTCACAACCAAGTCCCTCTTTCAGAGGTGTCCAAATGACTGGGGAGCAAAGTCCCGTTGGTTTTCAGATTTAAAGACAAACATAACAAAATCTTTAATAATACGGACTCACGTGCAGAAAGAAATTTAAGGGGTTCAGTGCTGTGAGATCAGAGGGAGCAAGAGTCTGCAAACCCTTTGTAGATCGGGCTGCAGGGCGTAGGATTGCATGGGGGGAGGACTAGCCATGCCTTCAGCCACTTTGCAGCCTCAGCCTGCAGAGACAACAGAGCCACAGAGATGCACTTTCTATGTTTATTGCATGCAGAAGAACGACCCAACTGGAAAACACTCTGGCTCTACCTGCTTTCTGGACATAACCATGTTTAACCTACTGCCAGCGGAGTTCTCGCGATCAAACCCCCTTTGCTGTCACAGCAGCACCCGGGGGGCTGCAGGGACCCCTGTGCATCAGGCCCTTACACGCTCACGATCACGCTTTCTTCCTTGCACAATCAAGCTGCGTTGGGAAACAGAGATAGCTAAGATAGAAGAGTATGCAGCCCTAAATGCTAGACGCTCCATTCCTGTGATCGCTGCTGACTCCATGGGGAGAAGTGTTTTGAAGGGATGAACTCCTGAAGGAACCAGATCCAGTACGTGCCTGAAGCCATTCAATGCCTGAACCGCGAGAGCTTGGGGGAACGGCTGGCCTGGTGGTACCGCTGATACCCCTCAGAAGTGGCTGGGAGCAGCAGGAGACTGCTCAGTGAATCCTTCTGGCAGAGAGCCATGGCCTCCTTGTAATTTATCTTCTCTTT